TTCCCCCATCCCACCGGGGCGGGGGGAGAGTGAGCCAGGGGCTGTGTGGTGCTCAGTTGCCGGCTGAGGTTAAACCACGAGAACTGCTTCTGTGTGTTGAGCCTGTTGCTTGTGTCTGTTACCTGTGTACAGTAAAAATAAAACTTTAAGAATATACTGTTGCTTAGTAGTAAGAAGATAGAGACCAGTCAGAAACACAAAGATGGACTTTACTGAAAATAGAAGGACTAATTCAGCTGCAGTTAACTTAAAGCGTGTGAGTAAGCTAGAAAAGGGAGGATTGCAAAAATCTGTGTGTCCATGGCAATGCCACCCTTCAGTGTTACTTAACACGGTTGGGATTACATCATCTGAACAAACTTTCATCAGTTCATCACAGTTTGGTTATATGACACTATTCTGAGCTCAGTGTGGAAGTGATGCTTTTATGCAAATTTGCCTCCTCCGGAGTATTGCAAACCGTGTCAGAAACTTCATCCGGCCATAGCTTGCCACAAGGTGCCTTGGGAGAGAAGGCCACACCACCCAAAAATATCAAATGAAAAATTCAGGAGCTAGAGGATTTGTGCGGACTTTCTCTTTGAAATCATCAAAGCAGGACTTTTTTGCTTAGGAGAGTTTCAGGGACATATGGTACCAGTAGTTCCCACACCAGCATCCTTCTGTTTTGGGTCTCATCTTTTCACATGGTGGTAAAGATGGACGCCTAGGTACCTGAGTGCTTGCGAGGTTTGAAATAGAAGCATGCAGGAGGCAGGGAAGAGAAGACCTGGGTAGACAAGTGTTTCTGTTATGTTTTTACTGCTCTGATAGCACAGCCAGCTTGCACCTGTGCCAGAAGCCTTACGCATGGGCTGTTTGCCTCGTGGTACTTGTGATGGTCAAACGGTCATAGTGAGATGCAATGTCTCTTCTCAGGCTGAGCGATACAGCAGGAACCCTCCTCCAGGTCAGACCTGGGACCACTGAAAGGCCAGGGAAGCCACGAACCAGAGCAGCGCTGTAGCGCTGGGGGCAGCAGGAGGAAATGGAGCAAGTGTGAAAGGCGTGATCCGCTCCTGCCGTTTCCCCCTCTCCCGGCCAGGGGCAGGGGCTGAGTGAGAAGCTGCTGCGGAGCTGTAGCAAAAGGCTCTGTGCTCGTGCATAGAGACTGGCCAACGCGTGGGGTTTGACAAGAGTCAAGATGGTACCCCAGCTGCGGCTTCAAGCGGTGCGGAGGGGTGGCAATTCACCCCCAAGTGTTTCCTCATACACAGGCCAGGTACACAGGTAAGCAAGCTCTGGCCTTTGCCAGCTTCTCAAACCAAGCCACGGCAAGCACTGAGCACTTTTATAAACACATGCTGCAATTCCGCAGGCGCTGGGCAAGAGCAGGCGGCACGACCACACTGCTATCAGATTAGCCACCGAATTTATGCTGCTTTTACAGGGCCCATGGGAGGACGTGATGCAGCAGAGAGGCAAAGCAGCACGGGCGAGTGGTGCCTCATCCAGCACCCAGCATGCTTGTACGAGGTTAACCCACCAACGGTTTTAAACAAGCGTGAATAGCCAGAGCTGATTTATCAAAGCTTTGCACCGTGTGGCATTTGGCTTGGTGCTAGGCACCCTAATGCTGGCTTCAGCGCATTGCTGGATCGCAGCTCTGAGCTGTGGCTTGGCCAGGGTGTTTGGATGGGTTGGTAGAGGTGCTTGGCCGTGTGGTGGAGGTTTCAGCATGTTCACATTCGCTGCCAACGCTGCAGCAGTGTGTGGGCTCCAGCTGCTGTGGCTACAAGTCACTGAGCCCCCCAGGCTGAATCCTTGGGCTCTGCAGGGGTGTCTGATTTGCAGCAGCTGTGCTGTGCAACCTTGAACATTAAAATATCTTTGCTTGTTGCTCCGACTCCCTTGTTTTCCTTTCGCTGGCTCTGCGCAGCTTAGTGCTGTCTCAGGAGTCCGTCTCAGCAAAGGTCACCCAAGTCAGGTTTCCACACACAGGGAACACTTTTCTCACCCTTCACTGTAACCATGGTGATTTGTTTTCTTTTAAATTCCTTTCCCTTAGGTTCAATGCTATCTTTAGGTGTCATCCTGCTTTGACAAATGTCCCTGTAGTTCCTGACACTATCAGGGAACTGTGGCATGACAAGGACTGGCTTAAGTAACAGCTGCATAACTGTGTCAGGAATGAATGATGGTGGCCAGTGCCCTTTCTGGAAACACTCCCATTTTCGGTGATTCTTGCTCCAATGCAGCGTCCGGCAGCCAATCACGGCCTGGCTTGCCCGGGTTTTCGTCTTTCCTGTTCTCTTAACCTTGTGCAAGCACGTTGTCGCTGCAGAGTTTTGCTAACACTTCGGGCTTCACAGCCAGAGAGACTGGAGAGTTGGAATGTACAAGGCCGGCGGGGCAGGTAAATGGGAACAGTAAACGGGAACTGAAGCCTGAAATCGTTAACCCTGCTGAGAGCTGGGCTCTCGACCCGGCAAAGTCCCGAGGCATGTGTTTCCCCAAGGACACTGGGGCTGGAGTATGGGCCTAGAAATGCTCTTCCTGACTCGCAGCATGGGCCAGTTGTGGTCTGGACACTGGTAAAATGGGCTTCCAAGCAGAGGCTGTGGAGACCGAGGGCAAGTGACATACCGTCCCCTGAGATTTTGTGGCTGATACATAGTTTATGTATCTTTAGTCTGTAAAAAATAATTACCGCCTCTGCTGTGTGCTGATATTATGCGCAACCTGGGAAATGTGAAATCTAAAGAGTTTTGTTGTCTTTTTTTACTCAAAGAGAACTTTAAATTTGTGGTACTGAAGCAATGCAAACATTTTTTTGTTTCTTGCAACATTTTGTATTAAACCACCGATGCTCTGGATATAGTTGCCTGTCTCTCTGCAGGTGTGTGTTTCCCAGGGTTAACTCTACCATACTGCCTTTGCTCATTTCAAAGCCACAGTTTTCCTCATGTTTTTTCCCCAGTGACGCGGGTGCGAGCAGGAGACACGCCTATTCTCAGGCTTCCTATCATCTGTGGCTCAGTTCTTGCCCGGGCGAGGCCATGGTGTGTACCCAGCCGTTACCCCTGCAAATACAGCGAATGCTGCCCTGGTGAGTTGTTTTGCCAGCTGGAGGAGGTGCACGGGGCAGCAGAGGGGCAGCGAGGCTGTGAGCCTTTCCTCTGGCATCTCTGGCTATTTAAGCACCCTATGCTTAAGGGTGCTCAGAAGTCTGACCATTCAAGTTCACACTTCAGAGTCATCAAATCAAAATATTATTAGAAATCTGACCTAAATTATAGACCATACAGTCTGACATCACCTTCAGCTAAATCGTAAGATGACATTTCCTTCCTATAATGGACTGTATAAACCTCAGCTTAAAATGGCAAACAAAATTATCCCATCATTACCCAGCTGATCTAATGCCAGTGTGCATTCAGAGACGCAGAGGTGATCTTTAGCATCACGCATGAACTTTATGTTTCTTTAATTAACTGCATCATACTGCACATTGGCAAGAAGCCGTAATGATACTTCATCCTTCCATCGACTGAAAAGCAGAAAGTTGCAGGGATAATACTGTCAAGAGACAGACTAGGTCTTGATTTAAAACTACTCTAAATACCACAGAACAAAAGCCTTTTTAATAGTTCAATATTATATACTAAAAATACTTATGCTGCATGTGTAAGAGTTCCTTAGTATAAACAGTTGGACCAAAATCAGTGCTATAGCTGGGTCAAATGTAGCTTTCCAAACAGTTTTTTCAGATCCAGATAGCTATGAGCCTTGAGCGTTGTGTAGGTTGTTGGAAGTAGGATGTGCAAAGTATGATAAAGTTAGGTCAATTGTGTTTACTTACAAGAACATACCTGGTTTTTCCTAAGACACAGTGAGGGTTCAGGATGTGTCAGGCTTCCTCTCCAGGGACTGCCCACATGATGATAATCAGCTTTTTTTCTGTCTGGCAACGCTCGGTATGTGCCTGGGTCCAGCTCCTTGGCCCATCCCCAGCCTTCCTCCTGCCTCCTTTTTGCTGCCCTTCACTCAACCCCAGGAGCCCTGCTGCTCTCTCCCTGTGTATGTCCTGACGCTGGCTTGATGCTGGGCCAGGCTCAGGAGCCTGGCCTCTCCCTAAGCCCTTGGGCATCTGTGGAGGTGCTCCCCGGGGCTCCAGCAAGGCGGTGCTGAGGCAGCCCAGGCTGGCTCTGCGCAGGGGCAGCACAGGTCTGGCAGAGCTCCGTGCTTCACTCCCCACTTACATCTCAGGATGTGAGACCGAGATGTAACCTGCATCCCAGGAGCCGAGTACTCCTGGTCTGCCCCGGAGTGCTGGCATTAAGCAAGGCTGGTGTGGTGGCAGTGCAGCCGAGGGCTTCAAAAGCGGTGTCTGTGGTGCAGCTATCGACTATGATCTCCTTGAAAATAAGCTGATAAAAGGTCTCTGCTGATGGGGTTGCTGTGTGCACACCCCAGTTGGCCCGGGATGGCTCCGTGGGCTGGGAAGCACGATGTTTTTTCTTACCCTGAGCCAGCACAGCTATACAGGCAGTTACATTTTCTGGTCTGAATCCAACAGGTCTGATTCCACGTGTTGCCTCCATGCTCCTTCCCCTTACACACGCCCTGTGCTCAAGGTGATGCACGGGGTGCAGCGCCCTGCGTGTTCCCTTTCATAGGAAGCCAGGACCAGAAATTCCCCTGCCACTCCTGCCCCTAATGGCTCATTCCCTGTGCCGAGCCCGGGGCCGATACCCCAGGGGCGACCATCACCAGCCGAGGGCATGGGAAGACCCTCCCAGAAAATGCATAGGCAACTCCACCCTCGCCCATCTTCTCTGCCCAGAATTTAGAGCAGCTTCATGTGTTTGCTTTTGTTTTGGGTTTAAATATGTTCTTAGCTATCTCTCAGAGCTATCTCAAATGCAGGGGTGTGGTGAGACTGCCTAATTTAACCCAGCCTGTGACATCTGCAGATGGATGGCCTGTCTCCATAAAGCTGTTTTATCTTTTTCATTTAGGTTGGTTTAAAAGCTGATCATTTAAATCCTTTGTCACCACTCTTCTTTTGGCTTAATGAGATGCAGTCTAAATTTGCTGGTAATTGAGACAAAGGAAGTAAACCCTCTCAGAAACAGAAAAGGTCCCTGCAGAAGTTTGCACCGTTTTGAGAGCCTCTCTTTCAAAACACCACTTCAGTTGTCTTCCCAGGAGGGATCTGGTTGCACACTGGGTCACACTTTTAGGAAAGGAGAAGAAATGTCAGGATGTTCTGGGTGCTTGTGTGAGGGCCCAGTTCCTCCCCAAACTTTCATCACCCCCCTCATCGTTTCCCATCCAGAGAACGATCCCCATTCCTTTCCAGGGTCCTGCAAAGCCCAATGGCCAGGCACAGTGCCTTCCAGGCCAGCCACCTCCTTCACACGTCAGCAGAAACGCTCGGGTACCGAACATGAGGAGCTGCATCCCCAACCCACTGGAGCCACTGGACGAACGCCCTTGGCTTTCACAGGGTTAGGGTTTCAGCCTAACCAGTGCTCTCTATTTGAAAAGCTACAGGCCAAACACGCCCACGGGATCCACAACATAGGTCTCTAGCAATATGCTCCGATTTTAATCTATTTGCATATAATCTTCTTGATGAGGGTTTTCTGCACTAAACTCTTGCTCTGACATGACGAGGAATGTTTAAGACAGCAAAATGGAAAACACGGCAGGGAGATATGAACACCTGAACAGAGACAAGGAGGGCAAGCGTGGTGACCTTTTTCTCCACTCTGCTTTCCCTCCTGCTGGCCCCATCACCATGGGTTTTGGCTTCCAGAGTTACTCCACGGTGGCCCCAAAGGGAACACCTGTGGCAAGTGTGCGGCAGCATCCTGGTCCTCATGCTTGTGCTTCCTCGTTGTACACTGTGATGGGGCGCATGTCAGACACCAGCCCATCGGGTCTGCACGGAGCTTGCATGCAAATTGCCAGCTGAGGGCCCCAGGGCTATTTTTTTTCTCCAGGACAATGTGGATCTCCAGATCTCCAGAAAGGGGGATCCCATTTGAGAAAGCTGCTTGCTGCCAGGGACGTACGAAGTGCAAGGAGAGTGATGTGTGTCTGTTGGGGACAGAAGGCAGGACAATAATTACAGTGCTGTCAGTTTTGATAGCACAGGGCAATATGCCACTGAAAGTATGTTTTTAGTCCTCAAGAAGATGATATTTCCATGTCTCAGTCTTTTATGTATTTACCCCTCTGTGAGATAGAGGAGTGCTATTACCCACTGCTCATGGGGTGAGGTCGTAGAGCACGTGAGAAGTGAGAAACTGAGCTCTAGGTTAATGGCATAAACATGGGTCTAACCACTCCCCTTCAGTATTGGGACTCCTTCTTGGGAAGAGGGAAGGAGATGGACACCCTTTCTCAAGTGCAGTCATTCCCACCAAGCCACTGGCAGCTGCACACGTTTCTTTCCATCTCTGTTGTTTTTGTAGGGATATATTCAGTTCACTCCCGAGGAACAAAGATCCTGGCCACATTATGTCAGTCCGTGGCAGGCAGTTGTGTTGTGGGTCCTGTATGGGGTTCAGATCCTCTGCAAGATGCTCTGTGAGCACCACAAGTGCTTCTGTGGGCCCACCACAAGTGCCTCTCCTTACTCACAGGATTGCCAAGTCCCTGCAGTGCTTTTCAGATGTGTGTCAAGTCTGGTCTGGAAGAACCAGCTCTAGGTGGGAATAGACTTCAAGGGCCAGCTGCACACAACAATACTGATTAATGCCTTTTTTCCCCCAGATACAGCCCCGTCCAAGACGGACTAGACACAGACCACCAGCAATACAGACTGTCCATTCGTTATATCATTTTTTTTTTTCAGAAGCTATTAATTTGGGATGTATTTCAACTAGTGACCTTGACTGGAAAAATACCAGATCCCATGCTGTGTATCTTGGGGGTACCCCGGCTCATTAATAAGTACCTTCATTTCAGAGTATTGTCTGTTTATTTTGGAAGGTTTACCTCCCCTCCCTGAAAAAACAGAGATGAATTGGGATAAATACAGGCAGGAAATGGTTTCCCTGGCAACACTAAGAATACATAGGAACAACCTCATCATTCACTTTTATTCCTTAGGTACACTTTTAAAAGAAGTTTGAGCTACATTAAAAGACATCTCCTGTTCACAGCACAGCACCCAAGTCAACAGAATTAATCAGCCCTGATTTCACTTTCAGTGAGATGGGAACTAAGTCCCTTTAAAAAACAGGGATGTAAGGTCTTAGATTCCAGGGAATGAAAGCTGAGTCAAAAGAGAAGTTCATTCCGATTCAATGCTGGTCAAAAAAAGCCGCTTTATGCAACATTCAGCTTTGCTGAAGTGTAACTTACACTAATGAACTTCCAGCGTGTCCTGTTCAGAGAGCCTTAAGTTTTGGTGAAGCCTGGGTCAGATTGTCTATAAGCAAAATCTAATCTAGTTGTGTGACAGTGCCGGAAAGGAAATCAGAAAAACTGTTTCTGAGAGGTTATTAGGGGAGACATCAAAGCTTGGTGTGATGTAATTTCTACTCCTGTCACGTTGCACCAACACATCCCCCCCTCCCTCCCGATTTGCTTGCCATTCCTGCCAGCCTCCTCACACGCTGTAAGGTGCAGGAGAGACATTTCAGCAACTTGGATGACTACACCTTCCATGTGGAACAGTGTGTGCAGCCTCAGAAGCCAGGGGAGACCTCACTGGGAACGTCCTCCTCACCCAGGTTGTTCTACGGTTTGTAGACAGGAGGGGTTGTTCCTGAGGGGAAGCCATTTGGCAAGCAGGGTTTCAGGCTTAGCCCTGCCAGGTTTCTACCTCCAGGGCAGGCAAGATCTGCCCTTTCTCCTCATTAAAGAGGGATCAGATTGGCCAGCAAAGGTCATGGCATCCCAAGGACCTGGTGTTCAACCTGCTTCCTTGTCTCATGTCCTTTCTGGGATCACTGCTTCCCAGACAAGATCCTCCATCCTGTATGTAAGACCTACTTTCTTGGTTCTGATTTGCCTAAACAGCGCTGGACTTGTCTTCAATGGCTGCTGGGGATCAATCCATAAGCACAGATACAAATCATTATCCAAAAG